TACAGGCACACGCCACCATGCCCAGCTGAATTTTTGTATTTGTAGTAGAGACGGGGTTTTACCATGTTGACCAGGATGGTCTCGATCTCTTGACCTCGTGATCCACCCGCCTTGGCCTCCCAAAGTGCTGGGATTACAGGCTTGAGCCACCGCGCCCGGCCGCAGATTTGATTCTTGACCCCCTAGAGTCTCTCATGATAAAGGTAGGGCACTAATCGGAAAGGGGTTGGACGCTGGAGTGGAATGGGAGCAAATGGGAAGGTTTCCATGAAGCTGAAGACCTTAAACTCCTGAATTCTACAGAGCCTTCTTTGCCAGTAGAAGGAACCCACCTGTGCTTACTTAGAGGGTTAATCTTGCCTGAAGAATCTATGATGACCTCACCAGTGGAAGCTGATTTGCAAAGAGCTGTGGATCCTCCTCCCACCCCACCTATCACTGCTCCTAGACCTGTAACCGGACTTGACCTGCCCGGCCCTGAAAGGTAAGGTTCAGTGGGGTTTGAGATCTCATAAGGCACAATGCACACCATAAAAGTTGAAAGGTGTTTTTTTGTGTGTTTTTTTGAGACGGAGTCTCACTGTCGCCAGGCTGGAGTGCAGTGGTGTGATCCCGGCTCACTGCAGCCTCCACCTCCCGAGTTCAAGCAGTTCTCCTGCCTCAGCCTCGCAAGTAACTGGGACTACAGGCGCGTGAAACCACACCCAGCTAATTTTTGTATTTTTAGTAGAGACAGGGTTTCACCATGTTAGCCAGGAGGGTCTCGATTTCCTGACCTCGTGATCCACCTGCCTCAGCCTCCCAAAGTGCTGGGATTACAGGCATGAGCCACCACGCTCAGCCAAAACTTGCAAGATTTTTGCCAGGTGACATTGGCAGAAATCTGTAGAACACACGTAGGAATGGATCAAAGGGATACTGGGTCCAAGTGAAAGTAATGTTGGATCAGGCCAAAATTTTTAATCAGGTTTACTACACAGCAATTCTAAAGCCAATTTGCTAGTTCAAATGGCTAGGTATGGTTCTGCAGGTAAAATGCCAGAACTTTCTTGGTAACTTGAGATAAATATCTCCTAGAGGCTTAGAATGCTAGAGTAGATTTTTTATGTAAAATCTGTTGACCCATTGCGTAACTCTGGCTCTCAGAATCTGAAGAATACCTTCACAAGACTGTGCGAAGTCCATTTAGTGGGGAAGAGGACTTCTTAATCCTTGGGCAGTCTAGGAGGGAGAGCTGCTGTCGTTAAGCTTCAACCCCTGAATTCACTGGGAATGGCAGAATCTGATGGCCAAGTGGTGGCACTTAATTGCCAAAGCCAGTGCGGGACCAGCTGCCGTCATGGATAGCAGAACTGGCACAGTCATCAAGATGGTCTGTCCTCAGAGATCTTGGACGTTGATTAGTTGATGATGGCGTCCCTAGAGCTGAGACTCATGGCAGCCTGCTCAGGCCTTATTTGATTTTCACAAGCAGCAAAGCTCTAAATCTGGTGAAGAGCAGTGCAAAAAAAAAAAAAAAAAAATCACTATAGTAGGGAGTTTCAGCCTCTCAACCAATTCCCAGAGTTGAGCCAGTTCACAGACCCAGAGCTCCTTGACTGAAAGGGAGGCCAGGGACACATGAACTCTGAACTCTGAGCCACCAAATTTGTCCTGTAACTCGTCCTCCTAACCTTCCCAAAGAATCTCCTGGATATTTACTAGGTTGTGTATTGACCATGCACTGAAGAAAGGGAAATAACAAGACTATTCAGCAATTGCTGGTCACTGGCTCTGAACCGACACTAATGCCTGGACAGCTAAAATACCACGATGTCTACCAGACAGAACAGGAGTTGATGGAGAAAATGATTGGTTGAGCTTGG